GGAGGCAGAGGCAGGCTAATCTCTCTGAGATGGAGGCTAGCCTGGTCTACATAGCAAGTTCCAGGTCAGCTGGGGTTACAGGGAGACTCTTGCTCAAAAAGACAAAAAAAAAAAAAAAAAAAACACGAGTGTGGGGGGGCATGGCTAGCTTAGTAAAAGTGTGTGAGAATCTGAGTTCCAGCCACAGCATCCATGTATAAACTGGACATGGTGGTGCATGGCTGTAATCTCAGTAGTGAGGAGTTGGAGACAAAAGGATCCCTGAGGCCAGTCTAGCCAAACCAGTAAGATCCAGGTTCAAATCCAGTGAGAGACCCAAAACCTAAGGTGGAGAATAATTGAAGTGACCCAGCACTGACCTTACACAAACACACCTACACCACTTACATGCATGAACTTATACAAAAGAACCCCTCAGCTATAACTGTACTCCATATGTTCAAGCAGTGAGAAGAATAACTGAACATATTAAATGAGGACAAGGGAAACATAGCTTGAACTTGAATGTATGGAGATTATAAATTATGGTGTTCAAACTGAAGATATACTAGGTAAGATTCATGGCAGATTTTCACATTGCAGAAGAAAGGTTCCATGAACTTGAAGACAGCAACAGAAACTAAAATGAAACAAAAATAAAAGACTAAAAACGTGAACAAAGCAGCACTGAACTCCGGGATAATTTCTGTGGCCTAATCTAGTGATGCATAATTGAAAGCCTGAAGGAAGAGTAGATAAAACATTTAAGAAATACTAGCTGCCAAATTTCCAAAATTGATGAGACTATAAATCTGGAGATCTATTATCACTGAACCATAAGTATAAGAAATAAGGAAATTTAAAAAAAAATCTTTTTGAGACAGGGTCTCCCTGTAGCCCCAGCTGGCCTAGAACTCACTGTGTAAACCAGGCTGGCCTCAAACTTAGAGATCTGCCTGCCTCTGCCTCCCAAGTGCTGGGATTGAAGGTATGTGCCACCATGCCTGCCCTAAGAAAAGGAAAATTGCACCAGAACACATCATAATCAAATTGCTAAAAGTCTGTGATAAAGAAAAAAAAGTCTTAAAAGCAGCTGCAGATAAAAGGACTCATTGTAGAGAAAAAGATAAGCAGATTTCTCCTTGGAGACAATTATCTCGAAGAAAGTGGAATATTTTTCAAGTACTAAAAGAAAAAAAAAAAAGGTTATTCGCCTGGAATTCTATACCCAATGAAAATATTTTTCAAAAAAGACAAGGCGCTGAGGAGATAGCTATTGCTGCCTGAAGAGAGTTCAATCCATGGAACCCACGTTAAAAAACAAAAGCCAGGCATGGTGGTAGATGCTTGGAATTCCAAGGCAGAGACAGGTGGGTCTTTGCAGCTCACATCTATTTGGCAAGTTTCAGGCCAGTGAGAGATACTGTCTCAAAAAACAAAAGAAAACAAAAAACCAAGATGGATGGCACCTAGAAACAGCAGCTAAGGTTGTCCTCTGACTTATGCATGCATGCATATATATATATATATATATATATATATATATATGCACACATGTAAGTGCACCTGTACACATGAACACACACACGCATGCACAAAATGAATAAAGGCAAGAGCTGGCCTTGGTGGCTCATACCTATAATCCAACACTCAAGAGCCTGAGACTGGAGTGCTGCCATGAGTTTATGCCCAGCCTAGGCTACAAGAGGAAGAAGAGGAGGAGGAGGAAGAAGAAGAACAGATTAAGAGCTTTTCAGACATCTAAAAGATTCAAGAATTTATCACCCACAAACAGTATTATAAGAAATGCTAGGGGCTAGAGAGATGGCTCAGCAGTGAAGAGCACTGGCTGCTCTTGCAGAGGACCCGGGTTCGATTACTAGCACCCACATGGCTGCTAACCATCCAATTCCAGGGGATCCGAAGCCCTCTTCTGACCTAGGGCACTGTATAACACGGGTGCATGTACATAACATGCAGGCAATACATTCATACACATTAAAAAAATGCTAGAGAAGATCTTTTTTAAAAATATTTTATTTTTATTTTATGTGTATGAGTGTATTGCCTGCATGTATGTGAGTGCACCCGTGTCGTGCAGTGCCATGGAGGTCAGAGAGGGCATCAGATTCCCCTGGAGCTGGAGTTAAGGACTGTTTGTAGCCACCATGTGGGTGCTGGGAATCGAACCCGGGTACTCTGCAAGAGCAGTCAGTGCTCTTAACCACTGAGTCATCTCTCAGCCCTGAGAAGACCTTTTTAAAAATGTTTATTCCTTGGCAACTTGATCCATTTATACGATGATTCTATCTACAACTCATCCCTCTACTCCCCCTCTGACACCCCCAGTCATCCCCTTCCCACTTTGATGCTTTCTCACCATCTCTGTTGTTTGTTTTTTTTTTAACCTACTAAATCCAGTTAGTGCTGTCAGGGCCCATCTTGTTGGCTTGATCTTCTGTAGGTCTTGTGCAAGTAACCATAGTTGCAGTGAGTTCATGAGTGTAAAGGTCATGTCATGCCCAGAAGACAGCATTTCATAGCACTCTTCCCCATCCTCAGGCCCTTAACATTCTGACCTCTCTCCATGATGTTTCCTGAACCTTGGAGTTAGGGTGGGCTCATTGAGAGGTGAGCACTCAACAGTCACTAAAGGGAATCTTTTAGGTAGATAGAAAATTATATTAGACTGAATTGTGAATCTATATAAAATAAACCAAGAAATATGGTAATTGTTAAGTATATATAAAGGACTTTTGTTCTTTTAAAAATGTCTTTCTTTGAGAGGCTGGAGAAGTGGCTCAGTTGTTAAGAGTATTAGCTGCTCTTGCAGAGGACCTGGGTTCAGTTCCTAGCACCCAAACTGTGGCTAGCAACCATCTGTAACTCCAATTCCAGGGAATTCAATACCCTCCTTTGACCTCTGCAGACATTCATGATACAGATGCACTTCACATGCAGGCAAAACACTCATACCCCAAAAAATAAAAATAAGTAAAATACAACAAAAATTTTAAAATAAAGATATCTTTGGGAGGCAGAGGCAGGCAGATCTCTGTGAGTTTGAGGCCACTCTGGTCTACATAGTGAGTGCCAGGCCAACTGGGGCTACAGGGAGTCTCAAAAAGATAAAAAAATAAAAATACCTTCACATTTTCAATAAGTAATTTAAAATGTCTTTGAAAGGTAATTTCCAAAACTAGCAATGTAGGGTTAGTTCATTTGTTTTAGACAGGGTTTTATGTAGCACAAGCTGGCCTTGAACTCGTTTATAACCAAAGCTGACCTTAAACTTCTGATCTTCCTACCTCTACCTCTCAAGTACTAGAATTACAGGCATGTCCCATCATACCCTGTTTATGCAACCCTGGATATGGAACTCAGGACTTCATGCATGGTAGACAAGCACTCTACCAACTGAGCTACAGCCTTGGCCCTGTAGAAAGTTCTTAGCATATATAGAAGCAAAACACTGGATGACAATAGCACAGAATCAAGCAGGGAGACTATTGTTGGATTCTCATACTATATGTTAGAATATCATTTGAAGTTAAGGCGTGATAAAATTGTGTACTGTAAACCCTAAAGCAGTGAGTTATGACTAATATACCAAAAGAGAGATAAAATATTCACTCTAAAATAGATTCCCCAAACAGTAGAGAACAAATGGAAGCAGATAACAGAGATGTCCATGGCTGTGTTCATATTAAATGTAAATGCTTTTTAAAGCCCAGGTAAGGGCTTGTGATATAGCTTAGTTGGTAGAGCACTTCCTAGCATGCGCAAGTCCCTGGGTGTAGTGCTGCACACCTGTAATCCCAACACTCAGGAGGTGGAGCCAGGAAGATCAGAGATTCAAAGTCATCCTTTGCTACATAGAAGTTTGAGGCCAGCCTGGGCTACATGAGACCCTCTCTCAAACAAAAAGGTATAAAATCTAAAAAGCAATTATAAGACAACTACGTGTTTTAGCTCTTCAAATACTCTGCTCTTTATTCTGAGTGTGAAGCATCTCGAAGGTCTCCCTTGGCTCTGAACAGTGAGTGTAGTGGCTTTAGTTCCTATGGTGATGCCTGCTAAGGTTTTCTAGGGAGACTCTGAGTTTGACTTCCCTTTATTCAGCTGTGACTTTCCAAAAGGCTCCATTTAGAGAACCTGGACAAACCCCTCCCCCAACAAGGACTGTCTGACTCAAAGGGTCAGTTGTACTGATACTGCGAAGCCCTAGTTTGGAGTGCAAGAGTGAGGAAAGCACAGAGAAGGGACCATTTCAGGCCTGCCTGCCTGTTTGGGTTGAAGAACAGGGTTGCGTAAAGCTGCTTTCTCATCTAAATGTGCTCAGATACTTCTAGAAAATATCCCTTTGTATACATCTCTATCCTAGCATGTATCACATTGTATTGAGGTTTCTGGGTTTTGTATCTGTCTCCCATATGGTAACACAAGCATAGATATTAAATTGTTACTCTTCATCTTGGTACCCCAAGAACCCAGCACTGTGTTTAGCTTGTGGTGCCACCCAGATACATGATCAGATGAGAAAGATAGATTGTCCCGGTACTCAACCTGCATCTCACATTCATTAAACCCAAGTAAACATCTGAGGGTCCTAGTAGCGCTGTCTGTGGGGCTTCACACCCATCTTTGCTGTGGAAAGGCTAACCATGTAATTATGCAGCACATGTATTTATTTCTGGAAGTACGAACCAGACCGGTGTATAAGTTTATCACATGAATACTTAGTTGTAAGAAGTGAAAAGTTGGGGGCTGGAGAGATGGCTCAGCGGTTAAGAACACTGTTCTTGCAGAAGACCCGGGTTCGGATCCCAGCACCCACAGGGCAGCTAACAACTGTCTGTAACTCCGGTTCCAGGGGATCCGACAGCCTCTTCTGTCCTCCGAAGGCATTGTGCAACACAGGTGCACTTACTTATTTGCAGGCATAACACTCATACACATAAAACAAAAATAATAAAATATTAAAAAAGTGAAAAGTTGGTGTTTTTCTTTAGCAGCTATACATATTTCTGTACGGACCTTTGGGTCTGCCTCTGATACTGTCAGACCAGGGACAGCCAAGTGCCAATGTCTTCAGAGATCCCTCGTATTTCATTGACTGGAAGAAATACCACTTGTCGATGGTGCCCAATTTGGATCACGGTTTGGATAAAGGTATGTCTCGCCCCCCTTTTGGCACCAAAATACAGAAACATGAAGAATAAGAGAAATGAAAGGAATAAAAATTGCAGATAAACAGGACCCAAGGACCTGATAGCTTGCTTAGCACATGAGGACATGAGGGTGGGACCTGACCAAGCCCAAGAGTCCACTGAGGAGGTAGTGTGTGACAGCAATGCTCAGTCAGAGCCTGTTTGGTATTACAGCTTGATGCTAGATCTCCCCCACTTCTGCCCTCCAGTTCCAGTGCTTTTGTAAGGGTCTTACACAGAAGGTTTCAGTGGTACCTTAGTTTGTCAACTTGGGCACTTCAGAAAGGAAGACTAGAAAACAATGACTTCATCATGGAAGAGAGACGATTCCTACTGAAATAAGTATTAGTACACATAATTATTTAGAAAAATCAAAGCACAATGTAAATGCCAGATTTAATAACATTAAACATAAAAACCTGGCTGTGGCACTCATGTAGGGCCTAACCACGTTAGTTTTGGGTGAGTTGTACTAAAAGATGAACGTTAGGACTGGTGAGATGACTGCAGGTAAAGGTGCCTAGTCAAGCCTGATGACTTGAGTTTGGTCCCCAGGCCTCACATGGTAGAAGGAGAGAACCAACAACTGTAAGTTGTCCTCTGACTGTCACACATGCATGATGGCAGAACTTAACACATACTTACCAATCAGTGTAATTTTTAGAAGTTGAATAGGAACTGGAGATGGCTCGTCAGTTAAAAGCATGGCTGCTCTTACAGAGGACCCTAGGTTCGGTTCCCACATGGCAGCTTATAACCATCTATAACTCCAGTTCTGGAGAATCTGACACCCTTTTACATTCATGCAGGCAAAACACTCATACCCATAAAATAAAACAAATCTTAGCCAGGCGTGGCCTGTAGTCCCAGCACTTGGGAGGCAGAGGCAGGTGGATCTCTGTGAGTTCAAGGCCAGCCTGGTCTACATAGTTCCAGAATAGCTGGGGCTACAGGGAGACCCTGTCTCAAAAAGACTAAATAAATAAATAAACAAACAAACAAATCTTTAAAATGACTCAAGTGGTTAACTATTGGACCATTAAATAAAGCAGAAAATAGGACTGCAACCTAGACTGATGTCTAGGTTTGTGGTTCTGAGCTTGACTGTTGTTAGCTAGATTCCTTCGAAATTTGGAGAGCTATCTGATCATTTGAGAACTAAGGAAAATGGCCAGTAGAGAAAGGTGTTCTAGGATTATGACTAGTATGAAAAGATTGCAGCACTCCTGGATAAGGCAGCATCTCAGGAGGAATCTAGTATTCTCAGACAGTCTCTGGAAGCTAATAGGTTTGAGAAGAAACAATGGGATGTCACACCATCAGAGTCTTGGATAAATAAGTGACCTATATGAATTTCTAGGTATCTTACTGTCTTTATATATTTAAGACAGTCTTAATGTAGTCCAGGCTGGCCTCCAACTTGGTATGTAGCCAGGGACGACCTTGAACTTTGGGTCCTTCTGCTTCTAGGTCTTTGAGTACCAAATTACAGGCATGTGTCACTATGCCTGATTTATGCAGTACCCAGGGCTTCATCTATGCTAGGCGAACACTACCAACTGAGTTACATCCTCAACCCTTGTTATCTCTGTTTCATTTTTATTTTTATTTTTAAACTTTATTAGTTCCCATAATTTTTACACTAATTCTAAACTTGCTCAGTTAGTTTTGTAAATGAATAATATAGAAATCTCTCATTTCTCTCATCTCTTTTTTATCTGTTTGAGTTTTTTTGTTTGTTTTGAGGGTCTCACTCTGTCTTCGGGCTAGCCTGGAACTCACTGTGTGGCCAAGGCTGGCCTCCAACTTACAATAGTTCTCCTGTCCCAGTTTCCCTACTGTTAGAATTATGAGTGTGTGCTGCCTCACCCTGCTCCCTCCTTCATTTCTTAGAAGACAGAACTGGGATCCACAAGGAGATGACTCCTCTGTATGGATCTGGAATGTGAGACTATCCTGATGCCATTCTAAAGGAGTCGGCTCATATTGAGGTTAAGAGCACACATTTTAGAATCAGCCTGGCAGGGCCTACAACTCAGTTCTACCATTTACTGGCTCATACTGGGCAAAGCATTTAACCTCTTTTCTTGTCTATAAACGGACAGAAGTCTTGCCTACAAGTGTTACAAAGGCTTGATCTTGAGATAGGAGTTTAGTGTGCTGCTTGCATGGAGCATGTTACCTGCTATCACAAGTTAGCTGGTAATGTCATTGTTCAAGTTTGAGTTTCACCTCTGCCTCTTACTAGCCACACCTGCCTTAGGAAGCTGTACAAGAAGTAAATGAATTTACTGGGTAATGGTTCCCAGTAAGTGCACAGGGGTGCTGCTTTCCTTTGCATTTTACACACCTGGTTGTTATTTTGCTGTTCTTCGTGTAAGTCATTTTTATTTACTTCTGTCGTGTGGATACAGAAGCAAATTCAGGCATGGAGCCAAATGTTCGAATTTAGACCTATCAGATCCCCTTTGTTCAGGACATAGGTTCCCTAGTCACTTAGCATTTGGGGGCTTACCATAGAAATTTGTCTCTTTTTTTCCCTTTAGATTTGGTGCTTCCAGATGCCCATTATCTGGTGGAATCCAGTGAGGGGACTCAGTCTCAGAATATGGACCCACAGGGACTAGCTCTGCTCCTCTTCCTCTTCATTGGTTTTCACAGCGGGTTTCCAGTGCAACAAATGGAAATCTTGGGTATGTATAGACAAGTGGGGAAGCCAGGTTAGGTGTGCCAAGTGTTCTGTGGATAAAGGGCAGTATGAATAGTGCATATAGATATCTAAATTATATATATTTATGTGAAGAATTCCAGTGAAATGCTTCTCAATAAATTAAACAAACTGAGGCCAGAGAGATGACTCAGCAGCTAAAGGTGCTTGCTGCTAAGCCTGACAACCTGAGTTCAATAACTAGGGCACACATACTAGAAGGAGAAAAATAACTCCCACAAGTTGTCCTCTGTCCTACACACACACACACACACACACACACACACACACACACACACTAATTAAAATAAAAATAGGGCTGGGGCTGGGCATGGTGACACCTTTAATTTCAGCACTCAGGAGGCAGAGGCAGAGGCAGGTGGCTCTCTGTGAGATCAAGGCCAGCCTGGTCTACATTCAACAGTTAAGAGTACTTGCTGGAACTGGAGAGATAGCTTAGCGGCTAAGAGCACTGACTGCTCTTGCAGAGTATCTGGGTTCGATTCCTAGCACTCACATGACACAAACGTTCATAACTCCAGTTCTAGAAGATCCAGCCCCTTCTTCTGACCTCCACAGGTATTGTACAACATGGTGCACTTACATGCATGCAGACAATACACTCATACACATAAAATAAAAATAATAAAGAAAATATTTTTTAAAATAGGACTGGAGGGCTGGAGAGATAGTGCAGCAGTTAAGAACATTGACTGTTCTTGCAGACGACCTGGGTTCGAATCCCAGCACCCACATGGCAGCTAACAACTGTCTGTAATGCCAGTTCCAGGGGATCCAACAGTCTTTTCTGTCCTCTGAGGGCATTGCATGACACAGGTGCAGTTACCTACATGCAGGCAATACACACATACACATAAAATAAAAATAATAAAATATTAAAAAAAAATAAGACTGGAGAGGTGGCTTAGTGGTTAAGAGCACTTAGTACTTTCACAGAGGATCTGTGTCAGGCAGCTCACAGTTGCCTCTAGCTCTAGCTCCAGGGGATCCGATGCTCTCTTCTGGCCTCCGTGGACAGACAGACAGACACACACACATGTGCACATACACAGAGGCATACACACATAAATTACCTACCCTGTTGAAGAGTTGTATCGCTTAAGTTATGACAGTCCCAGATTTGGTTGACCAGAAGTCAGCAGACATATTCTAGAATGCTTTCTAGGAGAGAGTATATTACCCTGGACCAATGACCAATGACCAATGACACTCAACGTTAAACCTTACCCCCAAGAGATTCTGATTTCCTTAGATTGAAATGGGGCTTGGGTATCAGTACTTTTGTATGTGCATGCTGGGGATTGAATCCAGGACCTTGTTCATGTTAAGCTTGTGTTGTGTCCCTGAGCTATACACTGAACCTCTTAGTATGTGTTTAAAGCTTCCTAGGTGATTATGACGTGCAATATGCTTGAGAACTTTTCATTACTGCATTGCCTTTCTAGATGGAATCACAAAACAGAAGTCTGTCTTTGTGCAAGTATGCAATTAGGTGTGCTTGGGCATGTATCTACTAGATGCATAGTAACCTGTTATCAGAAACAGTCTCTTCCCTGTAGGTAAGGTGGTGGTTTCAGGTTCAAGGGCCACAAAACACATGTATCAGGATCACCCAGGTTGTTTGACCATATATAGCTTCTGGGGCCAAGACTGACTCATTATGTTTGCTATAATGTCAAAATCTAGAATGATTCAAGAATGGAACGATTTTTCTTTCCTTCCTTCCTTCCTTCCTTCCTTCCTTCCTTCCTTCCTTCCTTCCTTCCTTCCTTTCTTTTTTTGTTTTTTGAGACAGGGTCTCCCTGTAACTGCAGCTTAACCTGGAACTCAGCTATGTAGACCAGGTTGGCCTTGAACTCACAGAGATCCGCCCTCCTCTGCCTCCCAAGTGCTGGGATCAAAGGTGTGTACCACCACACAGGCTAAGAATGCATTTTCACTCAGGTGATTCCCAAGTGTAATAAAATTTGGAAGCTGTTGAGCATGTGAATTTGATCACGTGTTTTAATCCAATGACCCTTGGAACAGAAGTTTGGAGACACCCTCCTAAACTTTGAGGGAAGTTACTAGGAGACATGGGGCCTAGGCATGTTTTGGGAAAGATTCATAAGCCTCCTCTTGGGTGTTTCTTTCTCCGTGAGCTATGTGTTTCCATGGGGCTCTGCTTCCTACATGGTGTGGTGTTGCCCCACAGCATCATGGGTGAAGCAGGACCACTTAGAACTGCAGATCAGAAGCTCTCATTGACTGGTACTTGTGCGAACTGATTTTTATTGTCTGCTATGAGATTCTTCCTGCTTTCTGCCTTCCAAGCTTCTTCCCCCTTTTCCAATGTGTGCATGAGAGAGGTACTACTCTCCTGGGCTCAGGCTTTCAACTCTTTTTGAGGAACTGGTGCTCTTTTGTGCCCTGTTCACTGAGTAAGGCCAAGGGAACAGGAAAGAAAAAAGACCCAGGTTAATAAGTCTCCAGCAAGGAAAGCTCAGGTGAGGATTCCTGGGGCCTCTGCACACAAAGACAGAGTCACACAAGAGAAGCAGCAAGAGACAGTTCAGTAGTTAGGAGCACTGGCTGCTCTTGCAGAGGACCCGGGTTTGACTCTCAGACCCTACACGGAGGCTAACAACCATCTGTAACTCCAGTTCCAGGGAATCCGACACCCTCTTCTGACCTCTGTGGGCATTGTATGACATTGGTGCACTTACACACATATCAGCCAATATACTCATAAAATGAAAATAAGGGGCTGGAGAGATGGCTCAGGGGTTAAGAGCACTGACTGCTCTTGCAGAGGACCTGGGTTCAATTCCCAGCACCCACATGGTGGCTATGAACCATCCTTAACTCTAGTTCCAAGGGAATCCAAAGCCGTCTTCTGACCTCTGTGGCATTGCAGGACACGGGTGCACTCATATACATGCAGGCAATACACTCATACATACGCCATAAAATAAAAATAATAAATAAAATATTTTAAAAGATGAAAATAGCTGGGTGTGGTGGCACACGCCTTTAATCCCAGCACTCACACTCGGGAGGCAGAGGCAGGCGGATCTCTGTAGTTCAAGGCCAGCCTGGTCTACATAGTGAGTTCCTGGACAGCTGGGGCTACAGGGAGACCCTGTCTCAAAAAGGCAAAACCCAAATACCATAATATATTTACACTAACTGAAGGAAGAGACAGGTATGTAGAGATATGCCAATATTGTCCCATGGTTACAGACAAAGTAACCAAGAATTAAATAGGAGGTGTGTCTAGTGTCACACAGCCAACACACACTGCACTTGATTCTGAACAGGTATTTTGGCTCAGGTCTAGAATCTGCCACACCATGCTGCCTATTCCATAGACTCCATTTAATTAGAATGCTTATCACATTAGTCCAAGGGCATGAAAAGACTTTCGTGATTAATCGGTTTAGATTTCTACTCATGGCTCAGCAGTTAAGAACAGTGGAACAGTGACTGTTCTTGTAGAAGACCCGGGTTCAAATCCCAGCACCACATGGAAGCTAACAACTGTCTGTAACTCCAGTTCCAGGGGACCCAACAGCCTCTTCTGACTTCTGCGGGCATTAAACGACCTGGGTGCACCTACCTACATGCAGGCAATACATGCATACACATAAAATAAAATAAAAAATAATAAATAAAATATTTTTTTAAAAAAAGAAGCAATCAGAGGACTTCAGGGTAGAATCAAGACAGCTGTTTTTCACATTAGCTCTGATTTCAGCTCCTCTGGTGATGTTTGGGAAGCAAGTCACATAACCATCTGAGCCTCCCCTTATATCTTTAACATGAGGTTGTTAGACTAGATGATATCAAAGGTCCTTCCAAAGCTAACGGCCCTTTGGAGACAAGACTTTCTGGCATTTTAAAAAATGTTTGGCAGAGGATTAACCCAGGATGATGCAAGTTTGATACTATGTTCTACGTCCTACCGAGCATACCTGAAGAACACACCTGCCCTCCAAAACTGTGTTGTCACTTTTGCTGTACTGCGATGATTTATATATCACTGTTTAGACCAGGCTGGCCTCAAACTCACAAAGATCCACCTGCTTCTGCCTTCTAAGTGCTGGGATTAAAGCCATGCCAGTTTAGATTTAAATTTCTACTACTAAAAAATAAATAAAAGTTCCAGTCAGGTGTAGTGGTGCACACCTTTAATCCCAGCACTCAGGAGGCAGAGGCAGGTGGATCTCTATGAGTTCCAGGCCACCCAGGGCTACAAAGGGAGACCCTGTCTTTAAAACAAATCTCTTCTGCATAGTTAAAGCATGTATCTTTTTTTTTTTTTTGATCTTTTTGAGACAGGGTCTCCCTGTAGCCCCAGCTGTCCTGGAACTCACTATGTAGACCAGGCTGGACTGAAACTCACAGAGATCCACCTGCCTCTACCTCCCGAGTGCTGGGATTAAAGGTGTGTGCCACCACGTCCGGCCCAAAAGCATGTATCTTAAAATTCTGCATATCTGATAGTTTCAGACCAACCTCTGAAAAAGATACACAGTGAAGGCAAACTTTACCTTGCTTTCCCCATCCTTTCCCAATGCCTTGCAAGCTTTCTCCAGAGGTCCTTCTTTTAGGAAACAGATTGTGCAGAATTACAGTCTGTTTCCATGTGCCTTTAAAAAAACCACTCAGTTGGCCTTTTGCCCACCTTGTCATGGTAACTTTTCTATGACTAACTCCTTATTTTGCTACAATGCCAAAAGCATCTGGTGGTATGAACCATTTTAGGAATAAACTTTGTTTTTTTAATTAAATGCCTTCTTTCAAAAGACTTCTGATTTCTTGAGGTTCTTTTTGGAGCCAAAATATACAAAATAGTAGTCCACATGCTATATCTCCATGGCAACAGCAACATTTCCCCTTTGAATATTGCATGTGTATTTCAAAATACTTCATTTACATTATCCCAGTTTATCTAGAAAATATATCAGAAAGCAGAAAAGAAAATGCCATTTTCTTTTTAAAAATGGTGCATATGTGTGTGTGTGTGTGTGTGTGTGTGTGTGTGTGTGTGTGTGTGCTTGTTGGTTTGTTGGAGACAAGGTCACATTATATAGCCATGGCTGGCCTCAGCTCACAAAGATCCACCTGCCTCTGCCTCCCGAGTGCTGGGATTAAAGGCGTGTGCCACCACACCCGGCTTGTTCCTTCTTTCTTAAACCCATGGAGTCCACTTAGTGCTTTCAGTATGTATATGAGTGTAAGCTGCCTCTCCCAGGTACCATAGACTATCAGATAAAAAGCCCGGTGCTAGGGGCTGGAGAGATGGCTGTGGTAAAGAGCATGTACTGCTCTTGTAGAAGACCTGAGTTCAGTTCCCAGCACCAACATCAGGCAGCTCATAACCACCTGTAACTACAGTTCTGGGGGATCTGACGTCTCTTGCCTCTGGGCATCTGCACTCACATCACATATTGACAGGCAGATACACAGATACACATAATAAAAAAATACAAAAAAATTTTAAGGCCCAATGCTGGGAATGGGTTACTTCTTTTGGAGTTGTTGGTCAATTGGGTCCCATAAACCCCCAAATATTGCAGACTGTTGCCATTGCTATTGGTTACCTTCTATAACTTGACAGAAAAGACCCTATTGCTGAAAACACCACATATGTGAGTCATAAAACATGGAAAAATCAAGCTGAGCATGATGGTAGCACCATGCCTTTAATCCCAGCGCTCAGGAGGCAGAGGCAGGTGGATCTCTGTGAGTTCAAGGCCAGCCTGGTCTACATAGTGAGTTCCAGGCTGGCTTGGGCTACAAAGCCATTTTCTTTACTGAAGTGAGAAGAGTAAAGTTACTACTAGTTGGTGGTAAAAAATTACCTTAAATCTCTGCTCTCCTACCTCTAGTTCCAGATTCTTTTTTTTTTTTTTTTTTTGTCTTTTTTAGACAGGCTCTCCCTGTAGCCTCAGCTGTCCTGGAACTCACTATGTAGACCAGGCTGGCCTTGAACTCACAGAGATCCGCCTGCCTCTGCCTCCTGAGTGCTGATATTAAAGGCGTGCACCACCACACCCAGCCAGATGTGCACTTTTAGTGCAGTCCTAAAACAAGCCAGCTGGCCTCGGCCCCCTTCACCATGGTATATCTGAGCAGACTCTTCAGGGGAATGCCACTTAGGCAGCATCTTCTGTAGGTGCTCTGTGCAGTGAGTTTGTCTTCCTGAGGCCTGCAGCAGGACTGTGAAGTGGGGGCCTGTTATTTCATGACATTTTCTGCCCTTCACTCTCACATGTCAGCTTTTCTGGGTAATAGCAATTGGGAATGATTGTAACTACCTCAGCAAAGATCATTCCCATTTTGCTTATTTTTAATTAATTATTTACATTATTTTTATTTTATGTATTGCCTATGTGTGTAAGTGCATCTGTGTCCTGCAGTACCCATGCAGGTCAGAAGAGAGCATTGAATCTCCTGGAACTGGAGTTATAGATGTTTATTAGCTGCCATATATGTGCTGGGAACTGAACCCGGGTCCTCTGCAAGAGCAGCCAGTGCTCTTAACTACTGAGCCGTCTCTCCAGCCCCCTATTTTTATTTATTTATTTTTGAGACAGGATCTCATGTATCCCAGGATGGCCTCAAAATTGCTATGTAGCAGAGGTGCTGTTGAACTGATCCTCCTGACTCCATTACCTTAGTTCTGGGATTACAGGTGTGTGCCCAATTCATGGAGTTCTGGGGACCAAACCCAAGGTTAGGCAAGCATTCTACCAACTGAGCTACATCCCCAGCCCTAACCTCCAAAGAAAATACATTAACAGCTCTCAGGGTAATTTTTGTAGCCTTTTCTTTACCACAACACATCAGAAAGAAATGACACACTGCTGAGAACTTAGAGAACTAGGCACTCCTGAGAGACTCCTCCCCTCTTTTCAAACTTTAGCATTTGCTTTTTTTTCAAAAAATAGTTCTTCATTTTAATTTTCCTGAGCTTGCTTTTATTTGCAGATGGGAACTGGGAGGGGGTATCTTTAAAAAGTAGCTATTTGTGGAGTGGTAGGGTGGCTTCCTGGAGGCATCACCCTGGACCCAGCCCCGGGCACAGAATATAACAGAAGTCTTGAGTCATCCTCCTCATGGGCCCCAAATTCTCTCCTCTTAGGAGTCCACGCTGTGCTCACCACTCATCTCAGCGCCATCCTCACAGAGAGCCATGGTGCAGTTCGAGATTCCATCCAGTCAGCTGTGGACCAGGTCTTGGTGCAGCACCACCAGGCTACCAAGGTAATAAGAAAGTCAACTGGAGAGCATGCAGCCACAGGGCCTCGGATCCTCTTCTCCCTTGATGCCCCTTCCTGATATGCACCTGGGATGATGCTGAAATACCACATCTCAACTGGGAACTAAGCTTTCACATAGATAGGTCACTGTAGCCAAGTGGCCTAATCTTACCCTTTTAATTAGGTGTGGCTGAGTACATAATAACAGAAGTAATACAGAAAATGACTGATACCCTTCCTCTCTGTACACCTCTATCCTACTCATTCCTTGGAGGTGATCCTTCACTAAACTGTACCTTCTTCCCTCATTCTCCTAATTCTAAATACCACCTTTGCTTCTGATCTGACTTTCTAAATTCTTTTGTCCTGTACCCTTCTGGTAATACAGTTTATATGCTCCTCCCGCCCCCACTCAAAGAAAAAAAATGCCAACTGAAGAACCAGATTTGGGGGGGGGTGTCTTTTTTTCGAGACACAGTCTCCCTGTAGCCCCAGCTGGCCTGGAACTCACTAGGTAGACCAGGCTGGCCTTGAACTTGAAGAGATCTGCCTGCCTCTGCCCCAGGAGTGCTGGGACCAAAGGCGTGCGCCACCACACCCAGCTTGAAGAGGAAGATTTAAAACTTAACAACAAACAGTGAATTAAGCTGGGTGTGATAGGTTATGTGTGTAATCCCAGCATTTGGGAGGTTGAGGCAGGATACTGAAAGTTTGAGGCCAGCCTGGGTTATATATAGTGAGTTCCAGGCCAGTCTGGGCTACAGTGTAAGAGACCATGCCTCAAAACAAACAGGGCCAGTGAGATGGTTCCATAAGCAAAGCATTTGCCACACAAGCCTGACAACCCGAGTTTTATCCCCAGAACCGCAACAAAGAGATCATCAATTCTACAAAGTTGTACTCTGACCTCTACATGTGTACTGTTGCATGTGTGCACCCACACATATCATACACACACACGCACGCACACACACACACACACACACAAAAGTTAAAAATGAAGCCGGGCATGGTGGCACACGCCGTTAATTCCAGCACTCCGGAGGCAGAGGCAGGCGGATCTCTGTGAGTTCAAGGCCAGCCTGGTCCTACATAGTGAGTTCCAGGACAGCTGGGGCTACAGGGAGACCCTGTCTCAAAAAGACCAAAAAAAAAAAAAAAAGTTAAAAATGAAAATAAAACATGAACTGTTCGTTTTGGAGACAGGGACTCATGTAGCCTAGACTAGCTTCAAACTAGTAGCCAAAGATAACCTTGAACTTCTGATCCTCCTGCCTCAAGTTCCAGGGAACTAGAATTACAAAAATGTGCTACCATGCCTGGTTTACTCTATGCTGGGGATTGAACTTGGGTCCTCATGCACGAGGCAAGCACTCTACCAACTAGCTACATTCCTAGGCCCCTGGCCAGCTTATCTTTTTCCTGGTATGTCTATGTCAACAAGCCATCTGTAAGAAAGAAGCGAATTTTTAAATGTTTAATTCACATCCCAACATAAAGCTGTGTCATCATCTTGTTCCGTATTGGCGATGCCCTGCCGCCACTGAAATCCTTGGTTCCTTTGGGATTCTCTGAGCCCACAGTTTGGGACTAATGTGGTTTCTGCCTTACTTCAGGCTCATCAGAAACTGCAGACCTCGCTCTCAGTGGCGGTGAATTCCATCATGAGTGTGGTGACTGGAAGCACCTGTGGCCACTTCCGAAGGACATGCCTCCAGGCCCTTGAGGTTAGGAGATTGGGGTGCTTGCAGGTCCCTGGGTTTGACGACTTCCCAATACCTGTCTTCACAGCATACGCCGTGCTTACAGAAGCATCATTTTGTTTCTATTGCAGTCTCACTCAGCACCAGGCTTAGGTGTTTTAACAATGAATGACTAGTATGTGTACTATTTTTATAAATGAGAGGTCATTGAGATTTGTTTTCCTTTAGGTCACAGAACTAGTTAAGAGAGATCTAGGATTGGATCCTTCATTCCCAACCCCTTGTTGAAGCATACCTTGCTCCCTCAGGGTGACACAATATCCTAGAAGTAACTGAGTTGAGCAGCCATTAGGTACTCATATGTGAGAGAATGGGCTGGTACACACAATCTAGGGATCAGAATCATCGACTTATGGCTCATTTATTATGTGGACTTGGGCCTATATTTAGCTTCTCTGAGCCTTACCTAAAAATCAGACAATGAGATTCTCATAGGTTGAGAGCTAAATGCATACTGTAGTCGTAATGTTCATATCATTCCAAAATCCACACATTGAAATACTAACCCCCAAGGTGATGATTTAGGCTACCATGCCCACCTTGCATCTGGGGGCCAGCAAGATGGCTCAGTGGATAAAGACTTGCTACTTGCTTCCAAGCCTGACTACTTAAGTTTGACCCTTGGGACCCATATTCTAGAAGCAGAGAGCTGACTCCCACAAGTTGTCCTCTGACCTCCACACATGCGTGGGCCTCTATGCCTGGCTGGGACTAGGTCTGTTAATAAAGTGGCCCTGTGGGTTGGTGAGATGGCTTGGGGTAGATCCACTTGCCATGAAGCCTGATGAGCTAAGTTTGATCTTCAGGACCTACTTGGTGGAAGGAGAGAACCAGCTCCTGCAGGTTGTGTCCTCAGTGTGTGGCATGGCACAGCCCACTCCCAATACATTAAAAAAAATTTTTTAAGTGGCCCCAGAGAAAGCCTTGACTCTTCTACAATGTGAGGACACAGGGAAACAGCCCACTACTCTGAAGAAGGCCCTCACCAGAACCCAGCAGTGCTGGAACCCTGTCTTGGTTTCGTCTCCTGTTGCTGTGCTAATATACTCTGACTAAGCAACTTAAGGGAGAAAGGGTTTGTTTCAGCTCACAGTTCAAGGCACAGTCTCTCATAGTAGGGAAGTTGAGGCAGCAGGTGCTTGAGGCAGTTGGTCATAGGACATCGACAATCAGAACAGAGCATGGTGCATGTATGCCGGTGCTTGACTTGATTCTCATTTTACACAGTCCAGGACCTCCTGCCCAAACGCCTATCTTCCAGGTGATTCTAGATTTTTGTTGAGTTTATAATTAACACACTCTGACCTTAGACTTTCAATACTATGAGGAATAAATTCCCAGTGCTTATTATAAGTCCCTTAGTCTATGAAAATTTACTGTAGTGGCTGAAGAAACCGTACACAGTGAGATTCTCAGTAAATGTTAGTTTCTTTTCTTCCTTAAGGAGTATGTGGTAGCAATCAGTATCGTCAGTGAGTAACACATTCCACATCTGTTCCTTCGTTTTTATGTACCTTTTTCTGGAAAAGATAATACAACACATAGAAACATTTAAATATTAATAATTTCTATCACTATAATTTTTTACTTTTTGGTTTTTTTGAGACAGGGTCTCCCTTTAGCCCCAGCTGGCCTAGAACTTGCTATGGAGACCAGGCTGGACTTGATCTCACAGAGATTTACCTGCCTTTCCCTCCAGAGCTAGGATTAAAGGCATGTGCCTCTACAACTAACCCATCACTATAGTTTTAATTTTTGCATATTATCTCATATATAGTAATGAAGGCATTCTACTTTCATATATAAATTAGCATTTTTGGATTTCATTAGTGTTGGTTAATCAGTATTCTGTAGTGTTTAATTTAATAAAACATTCTTCTAATGTTAGACATTTAGACTGGTACCAGTTATTATTGGTATATAAATAGTGTTTTGGTTAATACCTTATGTGATATCTTGCTTAAGTTATTTCCTAGACTAAATTTCTTTAGGTACAGTTAGTGATTCAAAGAATATAATGCCTTTATAAGCAAGTGCTCTTAAATCATAGCTTTGACTCGGGGGACATGTGGATGACGGCTAAGAAGCCCTGATCTTGAGTGGTTTGCTTCTTTTTGAATGTCATTTTTCTCATGTATGAAATCAGTGCATTATTGGCTGGAAAGATGGCTGACGAGCATTTACTGCTCTTCCAGAGAACCTGAGTTTGAGTCCCAGCACCCACATCAGGCAGCTCACAATTACCTGTAACTCCAGCTCTAGGGGATCTGAGACTCTCTTCTGGTCTCAAGGCACCCACACAAACATGCATACAATTACATAAAAATGAATCTCTAAATTAGTGTGTTGTATTAGGTGATTCCTCTTGCCCTTTAACTCTGATACCCTATAAATCTGTGTTGAAGTTCTGAAGGCCGTCACCCATTCCACAGTGCTTGTGTGAGGAAGAGCTCTACATCAGCCTTGGTGTTTCAGTGTGGATCCGTTTCCTCACAGCTTGTTGTGGAGGAGCATTTCCTAGAACCCCCTCATGAAACAGGTGGCTCCCTGGGGTATTTGTCTGCTATGGACTTGGAAAAACAAAGATCTTGGTTAAAGGATCTTGCATAAGTGGCATAAATGGGCATGCATAGAAAGCTATAACTGCTGCCACATGCCAAGCATCCCAGGCCCTTCTCTTGCCTCCCATGCTCCAAGAGACAAAGGAAAATGTTTTCTTGATCAAATGTCTTCCCCTGCATTTGAACCTCCATAGCATAATGGAATTTCTCATCCATTTTAGGCAGGTGACACACAGGAGTTTGGGGCCAAACTGCACAAAATATTTCATGACATCACACAGCACCGACTTCCTTATCACTGCTCGTGTAACACAGAGCAGGTAAGTATGACGATAATAACCAGAATTTTAGTGGAAATCTCCCATTTTGGTGTGTGGGAATACTGAATTCAGGGTGAGTGGGTACGAAGGCTTCAGACTGCAAGATCTGGATAGCCTTTCAGTAAGGAAGCCTAGGAAAACTGTAGAACCAAGCACTGTGTAGAAGCTGAAAGTGTAGACACTGAGCTCTATTTCTGCCATGAAGTCAGTGTCATCATCGTGAAGGTTATTTAACCTTCCTAAGCCTTGGGCTTCTTCAGTAAAATAAGAACAGGGCAAACCTGAAGTCACTGTCATGAAGCAGGTAAAGCGCTAAAGACACAGCTGTCACCACAATGCTGAGGATATGGGGGTTCTTCTATAAGCTTTGCCTAATAAAAATACACCTTCATGGGTCTGGAGAGATGTCTCAGTGGTTAAGAACTCTGGTTGTTCTTGCAGAAGACCCAGGAATCGCAGCACCCACATGGGCACTAACAACTGTCCATAACTCCAGTTCCAGGGGATCCAACAGCCTCTTCTGACCTCTGTGGGCATTGCATAACACAGGTGCACTTACATGAAGGCAATACATACACATAAAAATAAAATAAAAAAATACACCTTCGGGGGTGGAGAGATGGCTCAGCAGTTAAGAGCACTGGTTGTTCTTGCAGAAGACCCAGGTTCGAATCCCAGCACTCACATGACAGCTAACAACTGTCTGTAACTCCAGTTCCAGGGGATCTGACAGTCTCTTCTGTCCTCCACCAGCATTGCATGACACGGGTGCACTTACCTACATGCAGGCAATACACGCATACACGTAAAATAAATAAATAAATAAATAATTTTATTTTGGTCTTTTTGAGACAGGGTCTCCCTGTAGCCCCAGCTGACCTGGAACAAGCTATGTAGACCAGGCTGGCCTCAAACTCACAGAGATCCGCTTGCTTCTGCCTCCCAAGTGCTGGGATTAAAGGTGTGCGTCACCACGCCTGGCAAAAATTTTTTTTTTAAGTTTAAAAATTACACCTTCATCAGTCCACTTTTCTGGGTGCTCGAGAGTTGCACTAGTTGAAGTTTCTACTTTGAAGGAGGTGAGCAGCTCTGTGATCGGCTCCTCCCAGGAGAGGAGTCATGGCTAGGAAATCCCCTCAGATTCCAGTAGCTGCTTGGAGCTGTCCAGCTAAAGTCCACCTTTCTGGCTCGCCTGACTTTTTTTGAACAAACGTATAGGTGAATAAATTAAAAATATTAAAGATGAAATTATTACACTGTATGGGGCTGAAGAGATGGCTCAGCAGTTAAGAGCACTGACTGCTCTTACAGAGAACCCAGGTTCCATTCCCAGCACCCACATGGCAGCTGACAACCATCTGTAACTCCAGTTCCAGGGGATCCAATGCCTTCTTCTAACCTCTGTGGGAACTGCATGACATGGGTGCACTTACACATATGTAGGCAGTAATACACATAAAATAGTAAAATATTTTTTTAAAAATAAAAATATTACATTGTAGCTTCTGGGAGGAAGGGGAAGGAAGAGGAAGGGAGAAAGGAAGGAAGTGGGGAAAAGAGGGAGGGAGGGATATTGAGATATCTACTTGACATCAGGCAGCAAATGCAATAGTCATTTCTGAGAGATAGAAATCATTTTTTTTGTTTCATCAAAAAAATTTTGAAGTTTGCCCCAACATACTAGAGAAAGAGGGAGGCCTTCAAACAAGGAGGGGGACCAGGCAAAGCCTGGTGGTCTGCCCAAGTTAAACAGATGGAGCTGGGAATCCAGGGATGCTGTCTTAGTCCATTTCATGTTGCTATGACAAAATACTTGAGACTAGCTACCTTATCTGGGTTAGACAATCCAGAAAACATGGCACCAGGGTCCAGCAAGAAAGGATGGGAGCGGGAAGAGGTGAGGCGCTCAGCCACTTCCTAGACAGCAGTCATGAGATACAGATGAGAGGGGTGACAGAGATGATACAGTTGAGCTCTGTTTAAATGTATACGGTCTAAACAAAACCAACTACCAAATAAAAAACATTAGCTGCACATAGTGGTATAAACTACTTGAGAAGCTGAGGCAGGAAAATCTCAAGTTCAATACCTGCCTGAGTTACTGTCTGTGCTGGGTGCTTCAATTGTCAACTTGACACAGCTGGGTGGAAGGGCTCTCAATTGGGGAATTTCCTCCATTGGACTGGCCTGTGGCCATGTCTAAGGGGCATTTTCTTGATTGATGAGTGATGTAGGAGGGCCCCATCCCACTGTGGGCGGTTCCACCCCTAGGCAGCTGGTCCTGTGTTGTATAAGAAAGCAGACTGAGCAGGGGGGGACCAGGGGAGCAAGCCAATAAGCAGTGCTCTTCCATGGTCTGTGCTCCAGGTTTCTGCCCCGAGCTCCTGCCTTGGCTCCCCTCGACGATGAACTGTAAGGTGAAATAAACCCTTTCCTCCCCAAGATGGTTTTGGTCAGAGTTTTTTTTCTAATCACAGCATTAAAAATTAACTAAAGCAGTGACACTGTCTCAAATAAGAGAAAGGAAATGAAAAAAGGGGAAGCTGAGGATGTAGCTCTGTGATACAGTGCTCATCTAGCATGTATAGGGCCAGCCTGGGTTCAGTCCCCAGCCAGTACTGAAGAGGAAGGCAGGAGAACTGAAGAGAGGCGAGGGTCTCATACATGGAAGAGTAACATGCCAGGAATTTGAAAACACTGAGAAATTTGCTTCTCTTTTCCACTGTTTGTTTTAATTCTAAAACGTACCATTGTTGCTGCATAAATGTTGTTTTAAGAACGTAAAAAATAGGGGCTGGATATGGCTCAGTGGTTAAGAGCACTGACTGCACTTGCAGAGGACCCGGGTTCAATTCCCAGCACCCACATGGTGGCTACGAACCGTCCTTAACTCCAGTTCCAGGGGAATCTGAAGCCCTCTTCTGATCTCCATGGCATTGCACGACATGGGTGCACTTACATACATGCAGACAATACACTCATACACATAAAATAAAAATAATAAAATATTTTTAAAATATATTTTTAAAAAAATGTAAAAAATAAAAGGACATGGGCTGAAGAGATCACTCAGTGGGTAAAGTTCTGAATTCTGATCCTCAGCACCTACATGAAAGGTGCATGAAGCATGTGTCTGTAGCCGGGTGCTGAAGGGCTGGGGTACAGACAGATAACCCCTGAGGACTAGGTGAAAGGGTGAGCTCCAGGATCAGTGAAACCCTGTCTCACAAAACAAGGCAGAGAGTGATAGAGGAAGATACCCAATGTTGACCTCTGGCCTCCACATGTGCACATGTACTTCATACACATCTGCATGCACATGGCACACACACACAGTAAAAGGACAGAAAGAGTTACACCATCCTAGCACAAATAAAGGCAGAGCTAGAGAGCCTGTATTAGTATCAGGCAGTAAATTTCAGAGCAGAAAACATGTAGGATAGAGAGTGGTTTCAGGATTGATGAGGCGGCTCAGTGGGTAAAGGCACTTGCTGTAAAAGACTGGTGAAGTTTTCCATATCCAAAACCCACACAAAAAGCCAGATGCAGTGGTGTGCATCTGTAAATCCCAGAACTCCTATGTCAGGATGGGAGGCAGGGAGGAGAATCAGCTGGGAGTGTGAGGTCAGCCAGCCTAGAGTATACAGTGTGACAGAAACAGCGAGAGAAACCCTGCCTCAAACACAAGGTGGAAGGAGGGAATGAATGCCACAAGGTAGTCCCCTGACTCTACACGCATGCTATGGCACACATGTGCTCACACACTTATACACACACAAATAAAAAAAATAAAGAGGATCATCTCAGACTGATGGAATCAGTTCATCATGGAGACACTGTAGATGTTCCTGAACTTACATAACACAAAGTCAATTTCACACATTGTAATCATTGAATTCTGTATTGAAAGTGAAAAACAGGTTGTCTGAATGTGCTTCCCCACCATTATGAAATCCAAAAAGCAATGTCAAGCCATCATAACTTGGGGACAGTCTATGGTCCTAAACATGCATGTAAATCTTATATGAAGGTTAAAATCATGAAACAATTGCTGGGTGTGGTAGGGCATACCTTTAGTTCCAGCACTCAGGCGGCAGAGGCAGGCAGATCTCTGTGAGTTCGAGGCCAGCCTGGTCTACACACTGAGTGCCCGGCCAGCTGGGGCTACAAGAGACCCTGTTTCAAAAACAAACAAACAAACAAACAAACAAACAAAAACATGAGACAAAACTAATAGCACTCTGAGGGGAAGGAGACAGAGCCAAGTTAGGCTTGGCAATTTCAACAACCTTCTCTCAGTAATTGATAGAACAGGTAGACAGGAAATCAGTAAGTCTATAGAAGTCTGGAACAACACTATCAATCAGTTTGACCTAATTGATGTTATAAAAACAATCTTCCCAACCACAGAATATACATTTTTTTTCAAGTACACAGGAAACATTTAGCAGAATAGATCAAATTCTGAGCCATTAGATATTTCACGATACATTTAAACTTAAAGTCACGCAAAGTCTGTTTTTAAAATTTTATTACACTGGAGCTGGAGAGATGACTCAGCAGTTAAGAGCACTGGCTGTTCTTGCAGAGGACCTGGTTCTGTTCCCAGTACCCACATGGCGGCTAACAACCATCTGTAACTCCAGTTCCAGGGGATCCGACGCCCTCTTCTGACCTCCTCAGGCATTGCATGACCATGAGTGCACATACAGGCAATACACTCATACACATAAATACATATAAAAATAATAAAATGTATTTTTAATTTATTACACTTATTTACATGTGTGTGCCTATGTGCTGTGGTACACATGTGAAAGTCAGAGGAAAGCCAGTTCTTTTCTTTCCCCATGTGGGTTCTGGTTTTCAAACTCAGGTTGTCAGGTTTGGTAACAAGCATCTTTACTCACTATGCCATCTTGCTGGCCCCAAAGTATGTGTCTTTGTTACATTGAGAGAGAAAGCATATGGACAGGAATGCTGGCCATGGTGAGCATGAA